CATCTAGCTCTGCCAGAACAGCACCCCAGTATTCAAAAGCATCGTCCGCCCCCAACTCACTTCCTGTTTCGTCGTCTGACTCGTCTTCAGTATCGACTTGGTTGCATTCAAATCGCTCGTCTTGGCGTCGAGGGTGCTCTGTTGGGTTGATCAGCTTTTTAATACGCTGGGATTTCAAGATGCTATCAAGCTGATCCGACTCACGAACCTTCTTCCGAACAGCGGCGATTTTGCGAGCCTTCTCCACCGACATTTGTTTCGTTTTGCTGTGTGAATCAGCGCTAACTCACTTAAGTAGCGCTCGCATGTTGCTGTGAAGACCACAATAGACAGCACTTGCATCGGAAGTATCGGCAACTTGCTAAAAGGCATGTCATCGCGCATGAAATCCCAGAACGAACTGACTATACTGAACCCTCCCTGTGGTGGAAGTGCTAGCTTTCCTTTCAGCCACTTGTAAATATCCTCTCCTAAGTTGCCGGGGTCCGCGCGCATGGATCGCCGATAATAGTAAACGCCGATGCGGCACAGGGAGCCTATCGTTGTCAGCGGGGTCTTGTTTAACAGCTTTTGAGCGGCATTGGTGTGTAATGGATGTAAAAATAGAGCGAGCAACATGAGCGGCTGCTCACACTGTTTCCATCGTTGCTCCACTTGCTTGATAAGGTTGCGCGTGCCAAACGGACGCACCGAAAATCCTTTGATCATATCCATGTAGCACACAACAACATCCGCGAGCGAGTTCTCGTCGCGCTGCAACTTCAAAGAGGCAAATGCAAGCGGACGCACCACCTCTTCAGCGTCTTTAAGCCGTTCCCAAAATGATCCTCTGCTAAAAAGCGTGCAGCATCAGGAAAATCATCGCCAGCTCGAAACTTAAACTCCAGTAACTCAAGCGCACTTTGAACGCGCAACAACGATGCAAAACATCCATGCATGCTGCTCCAACGGGTTTCACATAATTGTTTCAGATTCAGGAAATATCCATAAGTATCCACCATGCACGTCCTTGCTTCGACTAACCACTTTGCGGAAGACGCATTCAGAGCATTGACCGCGTCTGATGCTTGCTTGGTGACCTCAGAAAAATCTGACTTTAGAACTGCCTTGACTAAATTGTTTAGATCATGAGCAAAACAGATCTGAAATGAGATATGCGGCCACCGTAGACTTAAAATTCGTCGTGCCCGCGCGCATTGTCCGGCATTATCGGTAACAACGCCACCAATTGTCCAACCATCACTCTGCATCTTTTCCATCACACATTCCATTTGTTCCGCAATTGCGATAGCGTCATGCCTGGGTCCCGTAGGAAGCAAAGCGTATGTCATACCACAACCAAAAAGATCCAATTGGCAACCAAGCAAGTGAGCGCGAGAAATGTTCTGCCAAACATCACTTAAGAAATTCACGCGCACCTTCATTGGCATATTGTACATTACGAAGTGCCGTGCTATCTTGGCTCTCGCAGTCGAAAGCGTACGCGTCTAGAATGGGTCCACCAAGCTTCTTGCGGGTTGGTAGTGGGAAGATGTCAGCGATCATCTTGCTTACGTGATGCAGAAACGTACAGTAGATAAGCGCTCAATAAAACTGTCAGGAAGCCGATTATCAGCTTGAAACTCAACTAGTAATCTCATGAAGATCTCTCCCTCCGCGTCATGCGATGGTCCTGAAAAAAACTGGTCGATACGCTTCTGTCTTTTCTCACTTCGTGTCGAGGACGCATCGTCGTGAACAGACGAACTGCTATTAGGTTGAAAGGCTGTTGAGCTGGAAGAACGGCTAGCAGCTTCCACAGAGTTGCGTGTTTGAATATAGGCTTGATAGAATTTACAGCTCTTGAGATGGCTTCTATAGTTTTCCGGCCTCCCTCGAAGTCTCTTCGGCTCAGGGACAGGAGGCTCGTGCGGTGTTGCGCGGTAACTACCCTCAGCTGGCTGCCGCGAAGCACGATACGCATTGTTGCAGTGGTTGCAAATGTGGTATGTCCGGTTGTTACCGGCGTCTTCATGCAAGTCTGTGAACTCGTCGCGCTCTTGGCACGATGGGTGGCCCATGCTTCGGTACGGTGTAGTGTTCGATGTGCGATAGCTAAATACACTTGTCGAGCGTGCGTATTTCAGAAATAGAGACTTGTTGTATGTGGTATCAGTATTACTTTGACGGTGGAGACCGGATCACTCCGTCCAGTGAATCACCACCAACCTCCAGGTGCACTGGTTTTACACTGGTGTTTTCTACACCAAAACCATATAAAACCATTAAATCCGAAAACCAAAAACCAGCCAACACTGCTACGAACCCAAGCCAGTGGCGTGATAGGGTCACTGCCCCGTCCTGACCCGTGCAATACAGCAAAATAGTTGAATAATTTATTATTGTGGATCGGTATATTGCAATGATTATTACGTGCTTCTGTGAAACCCATTACAATTTTTTATTTTATTGTAAGAGCACTGCTTACCATCCTAGTCCTTCACTACAGGACTGCGGTAGCGTCTTCCCCCTTTGTTTAAGCATGACCGCTACTTACGCCGCAGATTATGTAAGTTGGTGCCGCTGCTGACGTAGCTGATTGTGCAGTCCTACTATTGACGCAGCTTGATCCAGTGTCGCTCCTCGTGACGGTCGCTGCTAGTGTCGGCCCGGTTGTCGGTGTTGGTCGCTGCTGTGTCGACGCTGTCATCTGGTACAATACATGTACTCTACACCTCCGCACTTAGATTTAGTAGGCTCTCTCACCAACGCACGAGAGGTCTTCGAAGAGCAGTGATCCCCCCAAAAACCTTGATCGAATAATTACGGACTGCCTGAGCGTAAACCACTAGACGCAAGTAGATAACTCATCTCGTCATCACACAGTAAACGAGCTCGTCATCATACCACTTATGTTTGGTCCCAGGTCCTGCAAATTGGCTTTGCATTATTATAAGCGAGCTCGTCATCACACAGCTTATGTTTTTCTGTAAGTATAAATAAACTGGATATTTCATCCATACTCTGCACTTCGTGTCGTCTAACCTCTCTTTGATGCGATTCCCCACTTTACCTTTTCCCTCGCCGGACGCAACCACTAGGCACAACTATCTAAAGTGCGATGCGTGTCCTGTACATAACGTTAATATCAACGACCGCTGCGCTCTTGTACAGTCATGCCTTTGCATTGACGACGAAGGCTAACGCCGACACGACGCAGACGACAACCGATATTTCGTCCGCATTGCTCGCAGGAGTACAGGACAAAGACCTTGCCATGCGAGCTCTAAGGACAGGTCGCTCGAGTGGTGGCAATGTTGAGCACAAGGACCATGACGAAGAGCGGTGGCTTAGTCGTGTTACAAATTGGATCAAATACAAGAGGGGCAAGATGAATCCCAAGCAATTACACACATACTTGGGCTTAGATGGACTGGGCCAAAGCGCTCGCGATAGCTCGAACTTCCAGAAGTACTTGAAGAAGTCGGCAGAATGGCGGAACAAACACTAAAGTCACGTTTATTCTTGCTCACAAGTTGTCTCTGAGCGATATCGACAAGAGTCAGCAAGAGGTTCCAAGCGTCAATAGCGAGCAATTGAAGGACTAAAACCATGAGAGACGAATAAAAACGATTTGGAAGCATGGGCGTTGACGCAAAGACACTCATTGTGTCACAGCGAGGACGCAATCGACCAGATAGAAGTCAAAACACTACGCAGCCAGACGAGCATCGTGAGTCTTCGAGATAGCAAGACTGTGGAGTGTGCAGTGGGTGACGGACTGAAGTGGGGGAAATATCAATGATATTTGCATTTTTAATTGAGCTACTAACTCATGTTAAATGCTAAACTTGTACTACTACTAGTAGTAGTAGTAGTATTAAAACTGTACGTGTCTGTTTAAATTCGAATACCGAGGTACGTAGTGATACTAGGTTTTATAAGCTGACTACTTCGAAGTATCAATTCAAAGTTACGCTTAGTCACTCCATCTGCGGGAGATTATGCGCTTGTCGTTCAACAAGTTGCAAAACAGTGAGTCCCGCAACATGTTCGAGTGGTGATGTGACGTCGTCCTTCATGGCAATTCGCAGGTATTTAATGATCATCTGATGCGTAGGTTGAACACTCGCTAGCTTGAGACTCGCCATTTCGGTGAGTTGCAGTGGATTCATTCGTCGATTGTCCATGATGGTCATTGAGGCACCAGCACAGACCAATAGTCTTGTGCTCTTGATATGACCATAAAAAGCTGCGTAGTGTAGCGCCGTAAGCCCGTCCAGTGAGTCCTGTTGATCAATCGATGCTCCATTCCGCAAGAGAAGAGATAATACCTCGTCTGATCCTGACAGCGCTGCCCAGTGAAGAGCTGTTCGCCCAAGATTGTCCACTTCGTCCACGATTTGCTCATTTCTCAAACACAATTGCGCCGTCTTTGCATCGCCCGACCGCGCAGCCTCAAGAAAAAGTGCGAAACGACCAAGAAAGTTGTTGCTCTGTTGTTTCTGCCCTGTAGTAACAGCGATTTTACTCTGTTGAGTTTTAGTGTTCAAGTATTGATGAGCTGCCTGAGCATATTGCGTTTCGAGCGAAACTTGAGTGCAATACGCGAGTACCACAGTGGATATGCCAACGACAATGTAAATAATCAGTGGGACGGCAGCTAGGATCAAGAAAACTCGTCTGGTACTTGTCGCCGTACTGGAGGGAAGACTTAAAAATAGTAGTAAAAATACCACACACGGAAAACCCACACAGATTCCACGAAGACAGCGACTTCGTAGACAGCATAATAAACGCGAAAAAGTTGGTGAAGGAAGATCGCTTCCTATCCCTTGCTTCTCGCGAAATACTGCGTTCTCCAAGTCGTCATCCTGGTCGCCTACTGTTGGAATAGAAGAAGCCATATCATCAATTTGGTTGATCGGTGCAGTGTTGTCAGGTATTTATAAACGTCAAGACCTTTTAATAATAGTGAATGCTCATCAAGAAAAAAAGAGCACGTGCTGTGGCAAGCGAAAATGCAAGGACCTCCGTTAGCATCAGAATCTATAGGATGTACCCCATCAACGAGGACATATCCCGATGGAACCGTGAGGTCTGCACAGGGGTCTTCGGCTACTTCACATCGCAGACTTCGACAGGAATTGTCCTATCCAGCAACCGCACAATGGGCTCCGCTAACACACAGCAGACCAACCAGCAACGACCTTTAAGGCCTTCTACCGCTCGAGTATCTGCTCCATCGGAGGGCATCAAACTACCCAAACGACCTGCTACCAGTCGAACCTCGAAGACTCAAATCCGTCATCATGAACATGAGGAACATTTTACGACGAGAAGTGACACTATAGCGATACAAGAGGCCATTCGACGCGAACGAAACCAGGAACAGTATGTGAACCCGCTTATTGGTCGAAGTGTGGAGTCTCGAGGGCAACTTGGTCGGGATGGTAAGCCCAATCGTGATGGAGTAGAAACTAGAACTATGGAGTTATTGTCCCGAGCTCGTGTCGTCTCCACAGCCGCGATGAATGCTACAGAACGTCTGCGCTCGAGAGCTTTCCAGGCACGAGCAAATGGAGATTATGACCGAGCTATCAAGTTTTACACGAGTTTATCGACTGCAAAACCGAGTGAAATTGAGGCGAAATTCCAGCTCGCTGTGTGTTTAGAACGAACAGGTCAAATCAGACCCGCGTTAGCAGCTTACAAGCAAGTTCAGAGACTTTCCGGTGGACAACATGCCTTTGCGTACTATAATATGGGCAATTTGTGTATGCGTGTCGATAAAGTAGCTCAAGCTGTCGACTATTTTTCACGTGCGATTAGTGTCAGCAAAGACAAAAAAGGGTCCAATAGAGGATCACCCCCAAGTGCATTTTATCGACAGCGAGCAGCAGCGTACCGTAAGAATGGAGATTTCGAGAAGGCCGCACAAGATTACGACCTTGTTCAAAAGAACTCAGGGGGCTCTACTACCTTGGCAGACGAGAGTGTGATGTTCACTGCTGAGCACCTGTACAACACCGTGAAGCGTGCCACATCTCCGAAGAAAAGAATCCCTCAACAAAGTGTACATAACGATGAAATAGCACGTGGATTGGAGATCGAACCTGACACAAACCAAGACACAAACGAGTGTCAAAGCGAACCTGATGAGACTGAAGATGCACTGACAGCTTGGACGCTTCAGCGCAGTCTGGAGATTGCTCGACTTCCACCGTCTGAAAGAAGCGACAGTGACCTTCAATACCTCGTCGATTTTATGCAGAAGAGATTCTTAGTTTGCGCGGCGTTGAATCCGGAAGTTTGCAAGCTTTTATGTCGTGATCTTGTGCTAAGTCCCGATGGAGCTCTTCCAGCCCGAACACCAATTTTTATGGAACAGAATGGTGTTGAAGCTCCACATGATAAGTCATTGTATTTTATTTTTCAAGGAAGAGTATCTGTCTCAAAGACTGCTGGTAGAATGTTTCAGCTGTCGGCAGAGTACCTAGAGAGCTCTGAAGAGCGCTTTAAAGTGCAGGAAGAGCTGGATGAAGCTGAAATGGGTGCGTCCGACGTCACGTGGGAACCTCCATGGAATACTTATCAAATACCCGTTAATTCGGACTGGAAGCAAACGCAATTAGAGCTCTGTGAGCTTGAGCACGGAGATATTTTTGGTCACCAAGGGAGGATTACAAACGCTCCACGGTAAGAAACAATCGCTATTAAAAATATTTGACTGCTAATCAAATATTACTGTAGAGCGTATTCAGCAATTACGACAACAACGTGTGTGATAGGGGCTTTATCGTGGCATCAGTGGAGTCGAATTGACCGTGCACAACACGAAGTCGAGGTAAGTAGTCTCAATCCTACAATAGTAAATATATTTTTTAAATATCGTTTTATTTTCCTAGCGAGACCGCGCCGCTCGATTCCTCTCCATGGCCCCAGCGTTCAATAATATCCCCGTAGTAGATATCCGCAACCTTGCAAACCGAGTACGTCCGCTATTAGTCTAATCAATATTTTTTTCTTACAGAAAAAATTCTTGTATCAGTCTACATTTGTCAAGGTCATCGGCTCCAAAGTCGTGTGCTGTGAAGGCCAGTCTGTGAATGGGCTGATACTGGTTCGAGAAGGCGAACTCTGCAAATTTTCGCCTTGTGGATTACGAACACCACCTGATATGTCCATATCATTCGCACTTAGTGGACGTCTATCTGAATCTCAAAGCGCTCGACTATTTTACACACAACTTGAGACTGCAGGGGATCCTCTGAGCTTTTTACGTATTAATGAGGCGCATCATGGATTTCTTCCACAAAATTACGTGAAGTCCAAGCAGCGGGAGCTTCTGCGAGCTGCCACTACACGACCAAAATCAACCAATACCAGGCGAACAAGTGTCGCTATCAACTGTATGGGGACTGGAAGGGGGACAACGCCAACGCAACCGGTTGCGCTGGCACTGCGACGTGGAGAATGTTTTTGTGCGTCATCATCCTGGGTTCCACCGCGCCAGTCTCGACAAGAAAAACAGCAGATTCATGGAATATCTTGCGCCAAGGCAGCGTTGATATCGGTCTCTACAGTAGAGCTTCTGTTCTTGTCGGCTGCAGATATCATGCAGGGATTCTCTGCTGATAGCCGTTCGCAACTACATCGTAATTTACAGGACATTGCCTTGATGAACAAACATAAGTACAAGACAGACTTGTCACGTTTACGAGGTCCACCTGGAGGGAGAAGAAACTCGAATCTGTTAGAGCAGTTAGTCCGAGATACACATTGGAGCAAATTTAAACAGGAGCTCGTGGAGAGTGTGCTTCGCGGACGGACGTGACCTTAAAGGCAGCACATGTATATGTTATTGGGATTTAAATTTATTACTAGCAGAGGATTCATTTAAGTACGCATTTTTATTTAATCTCGTCCAAAATTCAATTCTGATTTCCTCAATGCGCGGAGAGGGTGAAAACACATTGCTTTTGGTGATGTCGTTCAGAGATTCTACGTGTGGAGCATGGCGCTAGTATGATTTAGCGTGTAGGTTGCGAATTAAAATCACGTAAATTATACTACTATCGAGAAATACCTCGTTTTTCTTACCGATATATGGAGAGGGGGGGGTATGTGACGATATATTGTCAAGAACTCTGACGCTACGAGGAGTTAATTTTTTTATGACCCGCTTTCAATTAGTATCCTCTCCCAGGAGGGATATTCGTGCAGCTTACTACTGTAGTACTTGTACTAAAAATTGTAATTCTTTTTTAACACTCAAGAAATCTACATCCCCACAAACAAAAGCAAAACCCCAAGCACACGAGGAATGCACTGAAGTCCAGTGACAAAACGAACCGAACTAAGCATTTTTTCTTAGCGTCTTCAATTGCTTCAACTCAATTGATAAACCATCCTTCAAAACTCTTGAAACTACGGTCTTACTGGTTCTTCCACCACTTCTTCGACTTCTTAATGTAACTAGCGTAGTTCTTGTGTTTGTAGGCTTCTTGACCAAGTCCTTTTAAGTTTAAGTACTTGTAAAGCTGCTCGGGACTCATCTTTCCAGCGTGGTACTTGAAAAAATCTGTCATACCATTAAGCAGTCGCTCTTCGCCATCGTCGCTGTCGTCTATCGGATGCGTTCTCAAAGATCGCGTTGCAACGTGTTTGTTCGGCTCCCCAGCTAGAACAGGAGTTAGAATGCTGGTTGCCGTCTGGGCCGTGTCAGCCACAGTCGTGGTCAAACCGGACGCAGGACTCTGTACTAGAACAGTGGCCGTCGCCATCAGCGCCAAACACAGCACGCGCATCGATATGATGGGTTGCTCGGTACCAGGAGGGGAAAATCGAAGTGAGTAAGAAAATCGAGGAAAGCAAAGTATCTCCCCGCTTCTAACCTTGTACTGTAGCCTGTCGGTCTGTCTGTACCGGTACATATGTCCGTCCGTCTGTCAATCCGTCCGTCGCACTCCCTGTCTTACTGCTTTGACCTGCCTTTCCGCATGGCTACACCCGGCCTGTCTAATACAGCTACGTCCCATCCTACCGACCGCGCCTATCTTTCTGACTCGACCTTACTATGTAAAAACTACAAATATATCCAAAAGCGTCACACAATTAGATCGCCATCTAATTTGCCAAATATTGACCGACCTGCGACACTGACTGGATCTGTCGCACGATCAGACCGCCTCTCTCCCTCGCGATTAGACGTAAGGTAAACATTTCCTCCCATCCTACCGACCGCGCCTATCTTTCTGACTCGACCTAACTATGGCAAAATTACAAATATATCCAAAAGCGTCACACAATTAGCTCGCCATCTGATTTGCCAAATATTAACCGACCTGCGACACAGTGTCGCAGGTCGGTCAATATTTGTGTCGGACACTGTCTGGATCTGTCGCACGATCAGACCGCCTCTCTCCCTCGCGATTAGACGTAAGGTAAACATTTCTGCTAAGAACGAAACACAGCGATTGGTTGCAAACAGCCAGGCGAGCTGCGCAGATGATTGATTGAAAGTAAAGTATTTCCCGCTCCCTAACCTTGTAACCTGTCGGTCTGTCTGTCCGTCCGTCGCACTCCCTGTCTTCCTGCTTTGACCTGCCTTTTCGCATGGCTACATCCGGCCCGGCTAATACAGTTTTCTCCCATCCTACCGACCGCTCCTATCTTTCTGACTCGACCTAACTATGCCAAAATGACAAATATATCCAAAAGCGTCACACAATTAGCTCGCCATCTGATTTGCCAAATATTGACCGACCTGCGACACTGACTGGACCTGTCGCACGATCAGACCGCCTCTCTCCCTCGCGATTAGACGTAAGGTAAACATTTCTGCAAAGAACGAAACACAGCGATTGATTGCAAACAGCCAGGCGAGCTGCGCAGATGATTGATTATCTACATTTAGTTACGCAAAACCTGTCGTATGTACTGCAAATCGGGCACAGTAACCACTTTATTTTCTAAGAGCTTTACACACCTCTCAAATAGAAATATTTATTATTGTTAATGTAGACTTCACAAACCAGTATTTTGTATGAGCTCTGCGATGGTATTTTCCACACACTTTTCAAAGTAAAGACGATATTAATAGTATTAGTATTTTTAAAATAAGCTTCACAGGCCGCATTTGTAAGAGCTCGGCGATGCTATTTTCCACAGACTTTCTAAAGTAGAGACGATAGTATTTTTTAAAATTAAAGTAGGCTTCACAACCAGCGCTTTTTGTAGGGACTTTGCGAATATATATCTTTTTTAGCCAGCCTTCACCTGGCACTCAACACTGCCACCGTGCAATGAAGGCGCGCGGCTGCACGGTCATTGCGGTATCTGCTCCCGTGCACCGCAACCGACGAATGCATGCGCGCACGATAGATAATTGTTTTAGTCAATTTATATTGCATGTAAAGTATGTATTTGTTTAGAAAATTTGATATTATTAGTAATATAGCAAATAAGTAGTAATATTATAAAACATTCTAATATTTTGCCTAATAATAAATACCAGCTTTATATTACCGTGCTATTGGCTAATATTTTGACGCACGTAATTGGTAAAAACAAATAAATTTTGTTAGCTTACTCACAGTTTGCAGGACCACGTGCAAGGCATATATTGACCTGCTTCTGCTGAATCGGCAGCGGCTTACGACGGACCCAGGGGCGCGCTGCATCTGCTGTGGGAAGCTGCAGTACGGTTACGCGTTCCGTACGATTAGCGGCCGAAACATCGTGTGGCGCTGTGTAGTCTGCGAGACCGGCCCAAAGCAGTTGGGTTCTGGGAGGAAAAGGCCCCACCACCTGATTCGGCCGAAGTGTGCCGTTCTGGGAGGAAAAGGGCCCACCACCTGATTCGGCCGAAGTGTGCCGCTAGGAAAGCCTGTCAAACGTCAAGAAGCCGATGGGTCCTGACTGGTACCCCAAGAAGAAAAAGAGGCGCAGCCGCCCTCACAAGCTGACCGCCCGAAACGCCAAGTACATCGAGCAAAAGAAGCAGCAGAAGAGCAACTAATGACACATATACCCTTTTGTGCCCCCATTTTCCTACCTGTTTTTGTTTTTGGTATACTGGCTGACGGTGCGAGGCTTGGGGCCGCACACACGGTAAGCTGACTATGGTGTTGACGCACCTACAGAGCGTAGCGCGCTTCATAAAATAATTAGCACATGGAATCAACTGTGCACCGCCGCAAGCTGGTGGTTCCTATCCGCATCCGCGTCACCGTAGATGGCACGTACACTCGCTCACGTGGGCACACGCACAACCATGCTACCTGTACCATCAGCTCTTATAGCGTATATTTCACTAATTGGCGCTCACAAATTTAAACTACAGTATTGAGTGGGAACTACGTGCGACGAATAAGCTGCTGTTGACATAGATACTACCACTGCGTGACAGTGCAGACCGTACAGATGGACGTGGCAAGTCGATGTGTCTGAACGCAATATTGTACTTTAGTGTCCTGTTCATAATGGCCGAGATGAGAGCTCGGTTGAGTCGCGGATGACTATAAGGTGTACCCGCCTCGCGCGTATAAATCGCGTTGGCTACTGCTAAGAGACGCGCGTTCAGTATACCTGTGTCGCCGCGGAATGGTTTGTGCCCAGTTAGTGACGCGCTTGATTATTCAGACTGATACATCAATTGCGTAAGCACAGAAAGCTAGCACGACGACGCTAAAGTTCCGATAAAGGAACAGTGACCCCATACATAGGTTGGACTATCACGAGCGCGTGGCAAACACACTCATTAACGACCTTGCGATATATGCACGGACACATCAAATAGCACGCCGAGCTGATAAGGAGGCAGCGAAAGTACTCCATCTAATGTACATGAGCTACTTTTCAGATTAAGTCTAAACATCACTACAATTTGATACTCAGCATACAGCCATGTGGCTTTGTGTGTTTGGCATACATTTAGGAGCCAGTAAATGCCAGTCGGAAAGGATCTACGCCACTCTGTCGGCCCGTATCTATGCACATACGTCGATAAGTGCGTCAGCTATGCAAGTATGATCAATGCATGCAAAAGATAGTGGAAATATCCTTCAGTAATATCATAAAGAGCCCAGCGGAACGATTTCAAGGCATAATAGTTTGTGACGACCATCGACAAAACTACCTGTCCTAAAATGTAGCTCGTGCGAGGTGATGACCAAACTTTGCTCGATTAGATCGTTGCAATCAAAGTTATGGTTTTGACTGCCTCACGGCGATGACGTGACAGATGGTATTATTTTGAGTAGGCGTATTTAGAACACCAAACTAGGATTCCTCACCAATGTATGCCAATTCCGTAGCATCATGGATACCGACCCGTCTTCTGAACAACATAAATTATATTTGCAACCACGCGCGCCTCCGATTGGCGTCATTGTGGGAGCTATGCGCTCAAATGAGATTATAGCCAAATCCTTCTCGGGTAAGATGGTGTTCATCTTGCAGATCACGTTAAACCCTGCTCATGTACCATAACACGGGATCACTAAGGATATGGTATGCGGAGTTGTTTTAAAACGTACCATAAGTAGATCACAGTATTCGTATATTATGTGCAGCTTCGCTCTAAGTAGAAACTCTAAGCACACCGCAGCACAGCGGAGGCGGTCAGCCCACACTACACCAACCACCCATGCCCTAGCGTCCGCGGAGCGGGCGCCCAGAGCGCTAGTTTCCCGCTCCCTAACCTTGTAACCTGTCGGTCTGTCTGTCCGTCCGTCGCACTCCCTGTCTTCCTGCTTTGGCCTGCCTTTTCGCATGGCTACATCCGGCCCGGCTAATACAGTTTCCTCCCATCCTACCGACCGCGCCTATCTT